AAATGTTGTTAATAATCCAGCCTTGAACACCTATGGTCTCTGGTGGTCGAGTTCCTCATATAAGGGCTTTTCACGTCAAAAATTACTTGCGAAAGTTAGTTACAATTTGAAAAATATCTGTCACATGTCACAGACAGCAGCTTGGATTTGGCAAATGAAAAACCTCTTCTCTTCTCTTAGTCACTAAGTTAAGATTTGACCCAATGCACGCGTAGTTGATTATCTAATTAAATTCATTTGACGCATAAATGTTGCTCTTCATCTCTCGGAACAACCCAGAAAGCGTTTCGTCTGCGCTTACTTAGGCTGAACTCATGATAAATTTGATGTCTATCATGTCATTATTTGATAATGACAGGGAAAAGGCTCCAATCATTGAAAATGAAACACCATAAGGATGAACTGACTTTGTTTGACAATAAGTCAGCAAGAAATTTATCATTTTTGACCGATGAATTCTAGACTCACAACTAAGTGGCTTTCACAGTAGGCCTCTACCAAATTTTTAAGTAGGTATGTAATTGATGAGTTCTTAAATCTTCAATCTAGACGGAAGTGAGCTATTCGACGAAGCGGAAAGACTCGGGAGTCACTTTTCAACGCTACACGTCTTTTCCAACATATGCCTTCTTTTTATGACATGCACTACTTCTAGTTCGTCCACCACAACAACAAGCTGACTGTGCGCGGCCTCTTTTCGTAGTCAGAGTTAACGTCGTTATTTGTGATCGTCATCATTTTTAAAACTCGATTATATTATGATATTATTTCAGACCTTTTGACTAGGTGGTCCAGCTAACTGTTAACCGTACATGTGCGAACGGAATTGACCTTGATCTTGTCTTCCGTATAGGCCATCGTACTGACAGATACAATATGTAAATAATTCCGTCGAAGAAGCTACGCTAAGAAAATGATGAGGATGGGCATATTTAATTACGGTATCATTTTTATAAGAAGTACAGTGCACAAAATGGATGAGACATTTAATTTTTTAATGTAACAGTTAATTTTCTTTTTGCATTAGCTTAATTGTTCTATTGTTTATATCTGATTTGGTTTAATACTATGTTGCTCCGGGTTCAAATATTCAAAACTGCAACTGCTGCGTTAATTTACTAACCTTGAATGTAAAGATGACACTTTTAATTTTTAGTTTGATTTCGTCAAATGGCTCCTCCTAACCAGAAGGTAGGTCATTCTTCCCACACTAAGTTTGTTCTTAAATTTAGCCCGATCCACCATTAGTTCAGCTAATGAAAAAAGTATTGAAAGAATACGATCGCATGTGTGACTTATTCGGCACTTCAACATGTCCAACTGTACGAAAACCAATAAAGGACTGTATCGAAGAGAATCGATTACTATTTCGAGTAACACATCTATAATTTTCTTCTCATCCTCTTTCTGAAGTTTGTCATTGATCCACAGGATCGTCGACCAGTGGACTACTGGAGTGACGCTAAATTTATAACGTATTTGACCCTCGATGGTGAGAAGAGGGAGGCGTTCGCGGCCAAGCAAAAGAAGGGCAAGGTATTGAAGACAAACAAACCGTTGGTCCGAGTGCTCCCTCTCCTCGAGGCTCTACGGAATAACCGCTACTGCGAAATACGTGAACTGATTGTATATGACGTACTTATGGATCACAGCGATTTAATGAGCTTGGTAAATGTGTGCAAAAAAACATCTACCGATAACTTAAGGCAGCCATCACTGCAAAAGGAACATACAAACTTGAAATTCTCGAACTAATTAACTGCTTTATTGATGCCAAGGGTTTGGAGGTTATTGTACCGACCTTAAATAGCACGCATTCGCTGAGCACTCTAATTCTGGACTTCAATGAGTACGTTCAAGGAAGAATTCTAAATTTTTGAAGGTTTGGCGACAATGGATGCCACGTGCTCTGTGAAGGCCTGGCGCAGTGCAAATGGTTGGTAACGTTAAGTATGCGATTCTGTGATCTGCACAAGCAGAGCGGTCTTTGGCTTGGTAACCTAATATGTGAAACTCCAATAAGGTCAGTCTGTGTATCCTGTTGTTTTCCCTTGATAGTGGACTATTTAAACCTTATAATTAACATGAAAGATTATAAATTGCTTATTGTTTGATCCAATCGATTGTTCGAGTAGCGCAATTTACCCATCTTTGTTCGTTGCTTAACCTACTGCCAATAGGTGGAATGGCTCGGCCAATCACAGAACTAAGAGTAAGGCTGCAAAGGCGTCTTTCTAATTTGGCCTCTTTGACGCTCTTGGTATGAGATTCGAGCCATCTCTGTAGCTCCCTACTACAGTAGCGGAAATCGGATCGTGTGTATTACGCACAGGCATATTATTTTCCTTTGTCACCCTCTAAGCCCCTTCAGAAATACCAGTTGACTTTAGTTGAATGAGGCAACAACATGTTAAGACGGCTTTTGTGTTTTTTTGACTTCCAACACAAGACAGGATCGATTGCCTCAAGGCATTAGCCAGATACGAAATTATCATCGAGGATCTAGATTAATAAACTTTGAAAAACAGAAATCTGACATCGCCCGAAATAATTAATTAAGTGGGGTTGGTGGGTTGATTAGACTACATCACGATATAAGTTTACATGACTAATGCGTTAATGATGGCTTTTCTATGCACGCCTTTCAAATCAGCTTCGAGATTTGGGTGTGTAGTCGGAGGAGTTTTTGTATGCCTCTCAAACTGAAGGCCAATGCAGTTTTCATGCATTGGGGAATGTGTTGTCCAATGAATCAAGTATAAGTATTGCAATGATGATTCGAAGTAGCAAGATCTTGATTATCACTTGTTATCTACCATAAAAATTTCAGTCAGGCAATTTTTGTCCTGAGGAACTGCAATTTTCATTTTGTTTGGAACAAAGCATAATTTAAAATCCCGCTGCTGCCATCTCGGACTGAGCACCCTCGGAAAAAAACATCCAATGGAGAGTAGCAATTATACTATTTTTTTCTTTATTTAACCAAAAGCCTACTCGAAGAGATTCTATGACCCATTTTTGCTTAATTTAAATACATTTTCGGGTTTACAATGGTTGTAATTGGAAGACTGTTCTGAAGCAGTGATATTTTTTCATAGACATTAGCATATTTGCACGCGTTTAGTACCATAGGTCATATCTATAAGAAACTTATGAGGTCTGGATCGGATATTCTTAATACATAGGTGCAGCGACAGACTTAAGTTTATAAGAGCATCAGAAATAAATGGGAAAATGCACAATATTTGACTAGCCACTTTTACAGTGCAGCCTTCCAAAGCGGTCAGAAGGAAACTCATGGGATTATACTGTACCATAATAGATGTATCAATCATACTTAAGTACTCTTTTATTAATTGCCAACAACTTTAATAATGTCGGCTAACATTTCATGAGTTAGTACATCTACCGTATATTTTATTGTTGCCGCACGGTACATTCGTAGAATAGAACTGTCATCGTCTTACCACAGAAATATATCTCTTTAACTTTTTAAATCGTATTGAATTATATACGCATTAGTACTAAGCGCGTTTGGTTTTTTCTACTCTAAATATTGACTCAGTTTAAGACAGTAAATACGAATTCAATAAAAATCACAATAAATGCATATTTATTAATTCCAGGGAGCTGTACGTTGACGGAAATTCCTTGGAAGCGGAAGGCGCAATTGCGCTGCTTTATCAGTTAAGTGAAGCAGCAAATAAAGAGGGCATGGAACGTGCGGACGCCGAGCGGGCTAAAATAGAAGCTGCTCTAGCAGCTAAAAATAGTAGGTTTCCAAATTTCTACAGTCCCTGCCCGTGAGCTGCAGAAGGCTTTTTTTCTTGCGAAAATTGAATTTTAACATATTCTTTCAACATCTTAAAGACCTTTTGAGAAATTTTAAAGTGTTTATTTAGAACATGATTGACGTTCTTCCGCCGAATCCGATTTTTGCATAATCTCCTAAGACCAGAACTAGGCGACAAAGAAAATGGATTTCCGATCTTCCTCCAGTTTCGGCTGGACAATATGACCCGATAGGGAGGAAACCTAATTTGCTATCGAAACACTATCATTACACTAAAAAACAAAAGTTCAAATGCAGAAGTACTTTATCTTTTTAGTCTGACCGTCGATTTCGACGATGTCTACCGTGTGCTCCAGAACAGAGTGGTGAAGGAACAGAGGCTTGCGCTGGATTATAGTGAGAGCAGACTTACGCTGCATCTAGCCCACTCTCTCGTTCCGTTCCCCCATCTGGGCTCAATTTCAAGACAAAGTCAAGAAGACCGGAGCTCGGAATAAGGGCAGGCCCACACACTATGGGCCACCACAACTGAGAAAAACCACAGCAAAGAAGGGGGCGGCCCTGATTCCTGCTGAGTGAGAGCGCCATATAGGCCCCGATGAAGAAGGAGCCATTGCAGTCCAACTTTCAGTCCGCCAGTCAGCCACTCTGCACAGCACAACACAAACTGAGCTTACCGCGCGGTCCGAGCTTTTAGCGCATTGTGATAGCCTCAAGTGCGTCAGATTTTTTATGCTGAGGAAATTGTGGAAAGGTAGTGATTCGAGCTGGCTTCTACTCAGTCCACATGCATTTTCTTCCGTCGTACTGCGGATACTGTTTTGCAGCTCGTGCACGCGTGTAAATTAGGAGAGGAAGATTGATTTGTATTCCATCTCAAGGAACTGAAAAGACCGGAGCGTACTGATAGGTGGCTATAGGACTCACGTCGGCCCCACAGGTACAGGGTCTCAATCCACGATGTTTGACAGTTGAAACGCCTACGTCTAGCATTAGCTGGTGTGAGCGAAGAGGAAATTCAGGCACTTCTGCGTAAAAGAACAGCGAAATAACATGTGGCGCACGCTGAAAGTAGGTGCTAAGTTGGGTTAGCTACTTCAGAGGCACAACAGTTAGCCTATTTGTTTTAGGCAGCGTGTGTGGAATTTCCTATGAATGATCTGTGAACGTTCAACCGATTCCTTAACCAGGGAGCATTTACTGACGTCTGCAAATACTTGTTGGGGTAAAATGAACCGGTCACCCCTTATACAAGATTGATAATTATACAGTGCGGTGAAATATCACACCAGTAGCGATCACCAACATATGCTGACTACGCGACAAACTACTAATACTTGTGACCTACACTCAGAAAAGACTGCCGACCGGCACTTAACCGTGACTTTGAGGGCCCTTGGATAGAGCTATCAGGATGCTAACCCATTGTACAATGTCCACGTCGGTGCTCCATCGGCAAAAGCGCACGTGTTTGGGCCCGAGGTTTTTCTTCCCCGAGACTGGGAGTGCATTGTTGAGAACGAATTCAATAAAAAAAATAAGTTTGTCCCCTTTTCTGCTAATTATACTTACTGTGCATTGTGCCTCCAGAGTGTGTTAAATTCAGCTCAGGGTCTGCAATTACGCTTTAAATTAGACAATACGAGCTAAGGGATTTCACACTATTAATTAACACGGAAGAGGCTCCTACGATAAGCGCTAAGAAGTAGTATTCTCGCCAGTGATCCACAGCCTGAACAGTCACATGCAGTGGGCATCATTATGCAAACGTGATTTATGAATTTGTTTGCATAATGTTAACTGTTTTTTATAGATGAATTATGAAGTGATTCTTAAAATGGCCTAAAAACTTTCACAATTTAGACTTAATTTGTAGCAGCTAAGAACTTTTAGGTTTTTCCTTTTAACAAAATACCCATTTTCTTCAGGTTTTGGCTCGATAGTTCATGTTTTTTCGCTGAAACCAAATTTGCATACTTCTTTGTGTCCATTACGGGAGAGCTTTCGTGTGGTCATAAAAAGTCCTAAAAGTTACAGCTACCGTTTTATGTTAGATTTCGGTAATAATTAATAAAAGACCCCCAGGTTTTTCATATTTGCAACTTATTTGAAGTTAAACCACGTTTGGTACTAAAGAAAAAAACGAATGTTTCATTGTTATCTGTTAGGCAAAATTTAAAAATGAATGAAAATTAACATAATCACTTAGGGAGTTATTTGGTCTCGATAATGGTAAGGATAGGGGAGAGAATGATATCTAGAGCAACAGCTTTCTATTGTATGAGACTCAACTTGGGAATTTTTTAACGTAATAACCGCTATCAAAACGTCCCTGCCAGCACAATCCCCGGATTCCCCCGTGCTCTAGACGGGGTAATCTGGGGATGAAAAATTTAGATTAACGAATTATATCTACAGAGCCCATTTTTCAAAATTGACTTTTTTATTAACAAATTATTAATCACGTTATCCTATAGCAAAACAATCAACTTGGGCTCTTAATAATGAGAACAAGGGGCTTCCCGCCGCGAAAACATTTTTCAGGCGGCGTGGGGACGGGTTGAGATCCTCGTTCTGAG